CTGCCCTAGTCGACGCCACGCTCGACCTCCCTACCATCTCGGACCATGACTCTCAAACTCGAGCTTCATTTAGCCAACACTCACCACATGCTCCCCTCCCTACTCATGACCTGCCGGTCACTACAGTACCGCAACACTCTCCTGCGAATGCCCCATCGATGCCCGGTTATCTCGTGGCCGACCTCCCAAAGTCTAACACACTGAACCACTTCCTTGACAGGGACTGGCCAGACTTTATCCCTCCATCCTGGAGGCGCATTAAACACATTGACAAAGCGCAACCTTCATCACTAACCTCATTAAGCGCTATCATCATGTCCGGTCTTGGTTTGTCGTCTCGACTTGCCTTGAGTGGGGTTATCCACCCAGTCGCGTGTATTGCTTTTCAAGGACGCCTCTCTGATGCCGCTTTTGGTCGTGACGGTACTAGCCGAGCACGTTTCCTCCTCGAATCTGCTCTAACCGAACTCCTTTCCATTGTCATCGAAGGCAGGTGTCCCGACTACAACCTCACTACTCCATGTGACCGATGTCTGGATATTGAACAAGCTCTAAGCCGATTTACTGGCTTCATTGCTCCTCCTCCCCAACTTGTCACCTCTAAAGGAGGCAAAGGCAAAGGTGGCAAAGGCACTAGATTCCCTTCCGATTCAGTGCCAGCCAACAGTCACATTCAAGGTCCCACAACCTCCAGCACTGGTATCGACAACCCGGTCAAGTCTGATCCTCAACATCACTCCTTCTCCTAGTCTACCGCTACCTTTCTGAGCCTACGTACAATACCATTCTTTTCCCATGATTACCTTTACTACCATACGATAGTCTACAGCCACTGGCATGGATCTCAGTAGACACCACATTTATCCTTCACCTCTCATCTCATGTCACCGATCATCATTCACATCTCATCCCATTTCCCTCATCATTGATTCTCACCTCTAACCCACTTCCGAGTTCACTTCTCAGAATCAACTCTCACTCAGTTACATTCACTCCCTTCCCATTGTTGAACGTTCACAGCATATGCCACCAACCATACGTCTTCACACCTCTAAACGGTCCCGTCATGGACGTCGCAGTTGGTTCTCCTCTACCTGTCGACTCTTGCGAGCGGCTCTACACAAGGCTGGTCTCTCCTCCATGCTTGAATGTGTTTTTGCCGACGATCTCTTCATTCTAGACCTCGCGACATCCTCCGTTGCAC